TATATTATATAATATTATTTATATATATATATATATATTACTATATAAATTATTATTATTATATAATAGATTGCTATGTACTTTATTAATTGATATTTAATATTATATATGTTATAATTATTAGTAGAAAAAGATTTATTTCGTGCCTCAATTGAAAAATAAAATAAATAAATAAATAAATATTATATTATATTATCTTGTTTTTGCATTAGAAAACACAAAAAATATTTTTGTGAGAAGTTACCTTTTAATTTTAGAAAAAAAGAAAAAAAAAGAAAAAAAATATATATATATATATATAAGACAAAAAGGTTTATATAAAAATGAAAGGCAAGTAGAGATTTCCTTTATATATAATAAAGATAAATTATATATACAAATGGATAATTTTTTAAAAAAATAATACAAAATAAAATATAGAAATAATAGGGATTACAATATAAATCAAGTAAAATATGTATAGTTAGTTAAGATTAAAATATAATCTTAAACAAAAATAAAAATCAAATGTAGTTACAAAATAAGTGAGTAGTTATTATTAATAGAGTAGACAATCATATTCTTATATATATTTTGTTTTCTATTTTATCTTTAAGAAAGATGTTTGTGAAAAAAAAATTAAAATATAATAAAAAATATAAATACTTATATATATATGTTACCTTTAATTTATTTTACAATAATACACTCTTTACGTTAAATGATTGTTGTATTTAATGTTAGATATAAATAAATACATGGGATATAGAATTAACAATAAATTAATAATATCAAAAAAAAATTGATAAAAAATAACCTTAAAACTAATGTTTGTTACTTATAATTATAACTAAAAAAATTAATTTGTTACTTATAATTAGAACAAGAAATAATAATATCAATTTTCATGATATATACACATTACAATTGATAATAAATAATATTTTTTAATTAATTCATATTTAGATATGAAATATATTATATTATATAAATATATCAACAATGTGTTCACTCACATTTTTAGATATAATGATGAAACATTAACACGAATGAGACGAACATTACAAATTTTATAAAACTAAAGTAATACAATTATGAAATTAAAAAATTCAGAGATAGATTGAATATTATAGGTACAAATTGAGGAAATTATTTTTCCTCTCTTTTCTATAATTAATTATAAGTTAAATAAAGTTTTTTTACACTAACTATCAATCATATTTTTTAATAATATCATGTCAGTTATTTTTAATAAAATAATAATAAAATAAACAACTTTAATGTTGTTAATAATGTATTGATAATTAACTCATTAATTATATTGAGTAGCCATTATTTGTCTAAATTTTATTCATTATAAAATAATATTAGGATATTAATAGAGTTTGTGACAATATTTTCCTGGACATTAACCCACGTTGTTGCATATGGTTCCCATTAGTGTGACCACTTATGAGTTATGACCACCATTTTCATCCTTAATAAGTCGCCAAACTCTCTTGCAGCGCCATGTGATAGCGAAAAGTGTCGGCGACAGTCTCCGGCACCGACACGAGCACTCTCACCGCATGAGGGTCTCCGACGATAGGCAAAATCAAGCAATAAAAACTACTCGTCAAAGGACCCACATGCAACGCTTTCCCTTCTCCAAAATCCACCTCCTCTAACCCTAACCTCGACCACTGCGAAATAACGAAACTCGATGACAAATCGATGCCCACCGTTTCGTCCTCCAACAAATCAACCATCGACCACACGCGCCCCTCGTCCAAACGCGCCTTAGCGCGTTGAGCACTCTCACCGCATGAGGGTCTCCGACGATAGGCAAAATCAAGCAATAAAAACTACTCGTCAAAGGACCCACATGCAACGCTTTCCCTTCTCCAAAATCCACCTCCTCTAACCCTAACCTCGACCACTGCGAAATAACGAAACTCGATGACAAATCGATGCCCACCGTTTCGTCCTCCAACAAATCAACCATCGACCACACGCGCCCCTCGTCCAAACGCGCCTTAGCGCGTTGCACCATTTCCAAACCGTGTCGCAGGTTGCCGGCCGCCACCAGGTCCCTCACGACGCTCTCGGCGCACGCTAGCACGAACCCGTTCCCGTAGTACCCTTCGGGGAGCTTCATTTTCTCCCTGACGTTCACGGAGAAGAGGAGCTTCACCGTCAGCGTGGGGCACGGGTTCAGTGACTTCACCCACGCGCGCCACGTGTGCGCCGCCACGGCTTCGAAGGTCGTCACGCGCTTCGGTGACGGCTCGTAGCGGTTCTTGAGGCGGAGGACTTGGGAGGGTCCGAAGGTGAATGACGTGGGCACGAGCGGCTGCGAGAACATTAGCGCGTGGAGGTCCACTTGCGTGGGGTTTATTCGGGTGTATTGCGGGTGGGTGAGGTGCACCTGGGGAGGGTCTCGAAGCTTCAACACGTGGCGCGTGTGGATGGGTGGGGTTGTGAGTTCCGCGTTGGGGTGTTGGGTGAGGTGGGCCCAAGCTTTGAGAAACTGGGACGTGCCGATGCCGTCGCATAGGCAGTGGTTGATTGCCGTGCACAGGATCATCCCTCCGCATCCGAGTCTCGTCACCTGAAACAAGTCAAAACTCAACATAAAAGTATTAAATAAATAAATAAACCATCTTAAATATATTAAATTATTAAAAGAAGGAAACTATATTTATGTTAAATTAATTTTTTTATTTTCTATCATATCAATTTGAGTAAATTATACTAATATTCTTAAGATTTTACTCGTTTTTTTAATCATTACGCTAATTTTTATTAATTATTTAAAAAATACTTATAAAAGATGTTGCTTTAATATTTTTTTTAAAAAAAAAATTATATAAAAACTTAAGATGATACATGATAGCGATATTTTTAATATCACTGTCTTTTTAATACCTTTGTTATTAAAATATATAAATTTTGTGAATTTCATATTTCATTTAATAATTTTCTTCTCTTTTTTTTGGTAGAGAATAAATTTATCTTCTTGATTTACAAAATATGTAATTTTCAATAAATATTAATCAATAATTATGATTTTTTATCTCACATAGTGTTAGTGTAATTTAAACTAATATGTCATTAATTTTAGTTGTAATAGGTTTAGTCTTATCAAACAATGTATTAGATTCAGATTTTATAGATAAAAAAAAATAGTTGAAAGGTGAGATCTCACATAGACCTCTAACAAAAATTAATCATTGACAAAATTGATAAATATATTATGATAATATAGTTATAAAAAATATTACTCTCAATTTTTTAAATAGAAGGTGAGTTTGGATATATATATATTATACCAGTCATAAATTTTGTTTTAGATTAATTTGACTTGTTGGAGAGATAAATAAAGTGTTATCAATAATTATTTCTATCAAAAATCGAACTTTATACTTGTTGAATAATTTGTTCAAGATACATATGAAAGAAAACTTTATTAAACAAAAACTCATTTAATTATTAATAAAAGTAACTAATAAAATAATGAAAATTTCAGGTCATTATAGAATTTTTTTTTTTTATAATTTAAATTTGTA